TGTGTGTGTGTGTGTGTGTGTGTGTGTGTGTGTGTGTGTGTGTGTGTGTGTTTGTGTATGTAAGTTGATCTCAAAGATATAAAATAATGTTCCATGGTTTTGTACATCTTGCAAGTCATCGTCCAAAGCTGACCTTTTCACATAGTATATTTTTTACAAAAGCTGTTAAAGTTAAAGCGACTCCCAACAGAAGATTAATGACTGTAACTTTTTGGATTCCCGGAGATAAATTCAATACCTTTGACTATATCAAAACTTTATATCATGGGTTTTTGGAGGCTTTTTTTCTGACGACAAAGTCAACGTAGCTTCCTTGATGAATAAAAGTCTACTCTTTCACCCTAACCCCCCCCCCCAACCCTCCCTTTTTTCGGCCTGCTTTTCCATCCGCTTCGGTCTTTGTGGGTTTGTTTTGAGAGGAACTCGCCTTGTAACGACGGAATCAGTCACTTGTCAACTTTGAGACGTATGAAGTTTTTGTATTATCTTAAAGCCTCTTATATATTGTCTTGTTTTTGGTATTTAAAAAATCCAATCTATCTCGAATGGAAATAGCGATATAATGTTATGTGATTGAAGGAGGTGTTGGTCGTTTGGAGTCAAAGGAGAATTAAGTGAGACAATGGCTGCTGAAAATATTGTGAATTTCAAAGCTTGAGAGCCTTTGGAAAATGCAAATTTACATTGTTTGTGCATTTCAACAATTAAGTCCTGACAGACGTGTGTTTTTAAAATGAACGTAAAAGATGTTGAGCGGGAAATGGAAAAAGGGTGAGGGAGACGAGAGAGGGAGAGAGAGAGAGAGACAGAGAGATAGATAGATAGAGAGAGAGAGAGAGAGAGAGAGAGAGAGAGAGAATCCATAAGAGTGGACAATGTCGCCTGTTGTAAGGAGTGTTTGTGCTTGTACGTATCTATGTGAGTGAGGAAAAGGGGCGGGGAGCTTAAAATAGTTAACATTCTGAGGAGAGAAAGCCATCATACTATATAGTGGTTTTCCGTTTTTAAAATTGTTATACCTACCGTTTTCACAAGGGGCTATCATGTTACAAGTGAATAAAATGAAAACCAAAAGTTGCCCGAGTATGTTACTAAGACAATAATCTTATTTCCCTTTTGTTTATTTCCTTTTGCTAATTTTAAATCATATCAAATTTCTTTGTTACTTATCACCTTTTAGTTTCTCTCCGTCCATGTGTGATTTATTTCAGCTGTCTGTCCTATGATTCGTCAGATGAGTGATAATTCTGCATTTTACAGCTTTCTGATCCTTCTAGGGATTCGACGCCATATGAATACATTTTCTTCTTCTTCTTTTTCTTCTTCTTCTTCTTCTTCTTCTTCTTCTTCTTCTTCTTCTTCTTCTTCTT